TAATAATACTGCTCTCCCAATACTGACTGTATTTTTCGTATTGTTTCTAATGTGTTCCGTTCTCTAGCTATTTTCATGTAAAGGGTTGGATGGACTTTGCTTTATGGGCTCTGCTCCTATTGGCATAGAATGTAAATATTAGTTACTTTAAACAAAACTAATAAGAGTGAACATACCAATAAACACAAGGTATTATTAAACCAGGAACGATATTTGGATCAAACATAAAGTTCCCTTTGGTGTTCTGGCAATTGGTTACACTCTTTATTTCAATGTAAATTTTTTTTTTTTTGTGATTATTTTAAATAATATTTTTACAACACAAGAGCATCAAACATGGCATATATTGTGATGCACATGTCACAATTTAAAGGAACATACACAGCACCATAACCATTACAGTTCACGGTAGTGGTTATGGTGCCAGGAGTACCCGGATGCCCGCTTTCAGTCAAAAGTTAAACTTTTAAGACTGGTTTGATAATTGGGTCCTGTCAGGCACCTGAGGCTGTCTCTCGTGCTGCCTAAAGCACCTGTTACTGAGCTAAGTCCAGCCATGCAAGACAGAGCTAATTGACTGCCAGGTCTTAGTTCAATGGTGCTAACAGAAGTCCCTTGCAGGAGCTAACAGCAGTACAGGAGTAAAACCCAGCCACACGATGCAGAAACCAATAATAAAGCATTGAATACAATGCTTTCCTTCTGGAAAGCTTGGATGCACAGATGGCACTCGCCACACATCTGCAACTGGTCCACCAGAGACACCATATCCTGTTGTACTCTGCTTCTACCAGTCTATGCAGAAAGAGCCAAAATATTAAATCTGTGCAACTGAATTCACAGATCTCTTACTCCTTTAAGCAGACATGATGCCTTCCTCCCCAGGTGACTAAAGAATATTACTGATTAAGCATTTACAAGGCAAGGGGTTTTGTATACGAATATCAGATGGGATCATTTTAAAAATGAAGACATTTGTGTTACTCGTCACCCCCCATCATTCCCATTACTTCTACCCCCTTATTTCATTATCTTTTCTACCTTTCTTTACCACCTATCTGTCCACTGTAATTAATGATTTGGGAGGAAATAGGGAGATTTGAAGAAAAAACGTAATTTCACAGGTAGAGTCACTCAATTCAACTCTCAAGAATATGACGGGACCATTCAGTCTCTGTTCTAGGTCCAATGTACCAAAAGCCAAAAGTAACTTCACTTAATCCATAAAGCCTGGGTGCAACCAAACCTGCGCCCAGCACCAAGGCCCAAGACGTAGTTTGTAGTCACTGAAGAACTTCTGTTCTAGGTCCACTCCAAACCATGGTTCCCAAACGTTATATAGTAGGATAGAATCCCCTTCAAGGTAGGCATTAATTTCCCCATAGTAAAAATATATGTAACTTTATTTTGGACTTCAGGGTTTGTGAGTAGCAAGACACCTTTCCAGTGATGGACAATATTAATGCAGCACATATGGTACAAATAGTAGACATGTGCAATTAATTTCGGTCCGAATTTAAATTCGGACGAATTCCAGCAATTCGGACATTCAGGTGCTTCCGAATGTCAATTGCTGAAGTCCTGAATTTCCAAAGTGCCGAACGGAATTGCTGAAGTGTCAAATTTGCTGAAGTCACGAATTACTGAAGTGCCGAATTTCGGAAGCGCCAAAGTGCTTCGGATATCTGAAAAGTGGCAAAACAGGAGAGGGAGGGAAAATGAAGGGAATAATGACAGGATTCTAACCTTAACCCTAACCCTTTTAGGACCCTTTGAGGGTTAGGGTTATGGGTAGGTTTAGGGGAGGATTAGGGGTAGGGTAAGGATTTGGTGTAGAGGTAGGTTTAGGGGTAGTCTTAGGGGTAGGAGTAGGATTAGAGAAGTCCCAAATTTCGGAAGTACCAATCCAAACTGAAGTGCCGAATTGCCGAAGTCACGAATTTTGGAAGTGCCGAACCGAACTGAAGTGCAGAATTGCCGAAGTCACAAATTTCGGAAGTGCTGAACCAAATCAAATTTGTTTGCCCATGCACATCCCTAATAAATGGCTGTGTTAGTTGATTAGGTGAGGTTGCATTATGAGTAGTGACTATACATGGATTAGGGTTCAGAGACTCTCCCAGAGATGCACTTATGAATACCAGTCTCCAGAAGGGTTGAACAAGGGGATAGGGATGTGGAGATAGGAATTGGCTACTGTGAAATCCCCTGTTCCCTATGTTATATCCATTGCATTCCCTTTTTTTTACTCTATGTCTGCCCAACTGTTTTGGGCATACAGCCCAGGGGGAGCCGGTCACAAGAGACTTCCATAGTTTTTGCGACCCCTGAACCGATCTGGGTAAAATTCAGATATGTTGGTCACCCAGATCAGGGCTATCAGGGGACATATAATTACCTCGAGTATAAAGGGGTGTTCTAGATATTGGGGAAAAAGGTGATTTTTCAGCCCGGAGATAATTAAGTTACTATTTTATCAGACTGGGATAGGGGAGGGAATTGTAGGTGTGTGTTAAAGTTTTACTGAGGGCTGTCCCCTTGCATGGGTGTGCACCCATTAAAGGACAGTTCCTTTGGTACCCTTCTTCTTGACTTCGGCTGATGTTTGGGGATTCGTGTGTTTCACTAAGGGAATCATCTTGTGACGTTATTGGAATTGCTATAGGATTCGTCTACCCTATCTACCGAATGGAGGTCTATAATCACTAAGGCTCTGGCGGTTCGGGAGGAAACTACCGAATGAGGTTTAAATATACTTGGTTTCCTTACTGCTACTCTTAATTTAAATGATTTTTCTAAACACTAAATATGCATTTTCATATTTTATGTGTATTCATTGTTGTGCTGCATCCTGTTTATATCTTTTTTTATTGGGGGGAGGGGCAACCATATATTCAGGTGTAACAGGATTTCAGCTAGGCGCAAAATCTACATGTGTCGTATCTGTATCTAAGTTACATGTAGCCAAGTTACAGTAATCAAATGTAACAAGCACTGGCAAGACCTGAAACCACATTCCATTCTCTCCTAGATCCATATTGCCTGTCCATACAAGGTCATTCTGTGTATACCGTTTACTGATTGGTGTAAGGGGACAGTTGGGGGATGTATAGTATATAAAAAGCCTGTTATTCAAAACTCAGACCTGGACACAGGTCATCTGAGACCCGGCCGGTTAAAATAAACCTGTTTACTTCCTGAATTGACCTGTGTCCGGACTCTCTGTGCGTGGCTTCATCTGTGTTTTCCCGTAACATTTCTGGTGCTTTGGCCAGGAAGCCATAGCAGAGATCACCGAGACGGTGATATTTCACCAATCTATCTATGGCTTTACCCCTTGACCGTTACTGCGTGGACCTCCTTTCATTAAAGGCGCCACTGAGCTTCTTCGTCCAGGAGACCATCGGCTTCTGCGCAGTGGGTATTGGGGTGTCCCATCGATGAATTTCGATCCCAGGTCTCCAGGAACCAAAGGAGTAATTAGTAATGGTAAGAAGTTTTGATATATTTGGTATACCTGTAGCCTGGCCTTTCCCTCTGGAAAGAAGAGAGACCTGATCATCACTCTCTATCTGGTAGCTAAAGTATGGTCTGTAAAGAGACTGTTCAGCTTATGTCTGGTTTGTAAAAACATTGTTTCGCCAAATCCTGGTTTCTAAAGTTAATGTCTAGCTAAATCCTGGTTTGTAAATACTGTTTAGCGGACTACTGAATTAAATAGTGTTTGACTAAAATATGAGTTTGTAGTAATATTGGGTGGTTGGGTGGTTAAGACGTTGGTCTATTGTATCGTTAATTGTATAGCTCTTTGGTGGGTTTTGACTTTGTTCTGTATGTGTGAGACATCATTAATATAACAAAGCAAGTCCTGTGTGTGTGTGTGTGTGTGTTTTTGGCCGGGCAACCATGCCACGTTATTGTTGATCACTTTTATACCTTTGCAGATGGTGTCCTATAGAATTTAAAACTTTATAGCTACAGTTATGGTATTGTAAAGGTTTTGGCCAGGGGGGAACTCTGTCGCCTGTCCCTGCTGGTATATGCTCAGCCCAGCCAGGGGCCACCTAGAGTGCTGCTTACATTGGTTTGGTTTCTCCAGTTTCTCGGGTTCCCCCCAGAGGTGAATATTTTGTAATTTTGAACCAGACTATCTGTTGAAACAATGGGTAATTCTGATTCTAAAATTGCTGATCCGTAAACATGTATATTGAGAAATTTTACTAAGGACTAAAGGGTAAGCTATTCATGATTATGCTGTAATGCTATCCACAGGGCCGGTGCTATATGTTAGGCGGAAGGGGCGCCGCCAGGAGCGCCGGCCCCCCTCATGCTGCAGCCGCCTGAGCGCTCTGTAGAGAGCCTCAGGTGGCTGCAGCTTTGCCCGGATGGTGCGTCCATGAGGGCGCACCGCCCGGGCCCAGCATGAGGAGAGGGGTTGACAGGAGGGCAGCGCTCAGCGCTTCCTCCTGTCACTCAGCGCTCCCACCTGTCACTCCCTCACTGTAGCATGGCCGAGCCCTGTATGATCTGCGGGTACAGGTAGCATCTGTCTCCTATACCCGGCCGGACTAACACTGAGTGTGCACTTCCTTTTAGTCCGGCCGGGTACAGGAAACAAAAGCTCTCTGTACCCGCGGACCATACAGGGCTCGGCCACGCTACAACAGAGGTGGGGAGGGGGGAGAAATAAATTGACAGGGGGGGAGAAATTGATGGGAGGAGAAATAAATTGATAGGGGGGAGAAAGACATTGACAGGGAGGGGAATTGATGGGGGGGAAAGAGACAGGGAGGGGAATTGACAGGGAGGTGAGAGAGTGACAGGGGAGGGAGGGGAATGAGAGTGGGGAGGGGGAGGGAGAAGAGAGTGACAAGGGGGGAGAAGAGAGTGACAAGGGGGAGAAGAGAGTGACAAGGGAGGGGAGAGAAGAGGGGAGAGAGAGGGAGAAGAGAGTGACAAGGGAGGGGGGAGAGATTGACATCCATCACACACACACACACACGCACCCCTTACACACAAAGACAATGCACCCCTTGCACACAGAAAAACACACAATGCATTACACACACAATGCATTATACACACAGACACACACACACAAGCAATGCATCCCTTACACACACAGAAACACACAATGCATTCCTTACACCCACTCAATGCACCCCTTACACACACTCAATGCACCCCTTACAGACGCACACACTGCATCCCGTACACAGAAACACACCTTGCAGCCCTTACACATACAAACACAGATTCACACAATGCATTCCTTACACACATATCAGGACATCCCCTACACACTCCACCCCCTGTGAACAAACTCATTGGTGGAACATGAAGGTGGACCCTGGGACCCAGACCTTGAGCTGTGTAAAGGGCCCCCCAAAAATGGAGCTGCTTCCCGTTCCCCCAGAACATTGATTTTTGTGACCACAGTTACAAACAGCTTCCAGAGATCCTATTCTACACCAGACCAGTGGAGCCAGACTGCAGCTAGAGCCCATCATAATCCTCATCTGGTTGTAAGTAGGCAATCTAGTATATTATTCGTGGCACTAATCTCTAATTTACCTCACATTAAAGAAACACTATAGTCCCCAGAACCACTGCAGCTTAATGTAGTGGTTCTAGTGTCTATAGCCTGTCCCTGCAGGCCTTTTAATGTAAACACGGCGGCACTGCAGCAGTGGCATTAGTTAACATGGCAGATCATATGGGTGGGGCATTGTGATGTCACATGGGGGGGCGGCAAACTTTACTTTTGCCTAGGGCAGCAAAAATCCTTGCACCGGCCCTGGCTATCCCCCAAAAGATTGACTACTCTGTGTAGCAGTGTTTTGGTAACAAAGTGTCCCTCCTGTGGTAGTCTTGATCCCGATTTAGTACAACGGGTTCATACTATTATTACCAGTATGCCGGGACATTACGACCAATTCCCATATGTAGACTGTTGGCAAAAAAACAACAACCTAAATGGATTAAGTTGTGCCACCAGGAACGATGTCGCATCATGGTTACCCAAACCTGTTTGTCTACTAAGGCCCCTACTCCACTTATTTTGGACCCTGAATCCGATCTCCCCTTACCACCCCTCTATTCATCCTCTCCAGTCCAAATTAATGTAACCAGTTCCTCAGCCCCACTGTTCCCGCCTACCCACTCACCCATTTTAGATACCAGCCCACTTGTCTTGGACACACCTATTTCTGTGCCTATCCCTATTGATTTTTTTTGTATCCTGAAATTGCGCCCTTTTTGGTTGTCGGGCAGGCTCCTCCCAGCCTTGTCCGAGATATTACGCTCCCTAGACTGACTACCGATATGCCTGACTTGCCTTCCTCTATCCACCAAGTGACCCCACAAACGGAAGCTGTTAAAAAATGATACCCTACTAATATACGTAGTCCTGTTCAAACCACTGCTAACCTCCAACCCCAGCATTTACAGATGCCCCTTCGACTTACCCCTATTGACCCATATTGATGGTAATGGTTACTTGCAGTCCGGATACCCTGTATTTGTGTATGTTCCCTTCACCACTACTGACCTGTTTAATTGGAAAACCCATAACTCCTCATATACGGATAAACCGTAAGCTATGACAGATCTGGCCACTTCTATTATTCAAACCCATAACCCTACATGGGCAGATTGTCAGCAATTATTGTTAACCTTATTTAATTCTGAGGAAAGGACACGTATTAGTCAAGCGGCCATTAAGTCTCTTGAAGAAACTGCCCGCACCCAAATTGCATGAGGTCATACAAAAATCTGATGAATCTCCTAGTATGTTCTATGAGAGATTGAGTCATACCGACTGTATATCCCTTTTAACCCTGAAATTTTGCGTATAGTCAATACAGTATTTGTCAGCCAAGCCCAGGGTGATTGTAGCGGAATGGACATTTGCAAGTTACTTTTATTCCCTATATTGGCTGTCCGTATCTCACCCCCCCTATTATTTTGTGTGTTTTGGCGATTATTTTGTGTGGTTCTTCTTTGGCTGTTCGGGAGACTTTATACGAACAGAATCCATTCGTCTCCCGAACAAGGACCACCCCTGTACCACATTAGAACGTTAACACCAACCACTTAAGTGCGAAACCGCAAGGGAAACAATTAATGAATGCTCTCCTGGGGGGCCACCATTTCGTATAACCGAACACATGGCTAGGAGAATGGCGGCCATCTTGACCCCCGAACAAGGGCTTGTAGCAATCAGTTATACCCCCAGAGCTGAGTGTCGTCCAGTTGCTGGAGATGAGGTGGGAGATTCCTGGATTATTTTACTGTGTTTGCCTGTTCTGTTGGATTTTTTTTTTTTTGTAAATCTTTTTATTGAGATAGTTCAAAATGTGGAAAGCAGTGAATTGGTAAACAGTGTGAAACTCGCAGGTTTCTGTAGTATATTGGTACACATGACATAATACAATGAGATATGCAAATCTCCACATATATTCCCCTAGAGAGACTCGCAGGTCCTCATGCTGTTCACACTTTAAAAGCAATGTAATTATACAACGAGGGGAAACAGTGGTATCATATAAAATGGAACGGCTGGAGCAATCAGATTGCCTCACTTAGCCAATGTGTGCGTAAAGAGTAAACAGGAGTTGCGTTAGGACAGGTTGTTCTCAGCTATTTATGGCGGAAGCCACATGACAATGCGTTACCTGGTCATTTGGGCGGGTAATCGAAGCAATTGTAGGAAAGGCGGGCCACTGGCTCCCGCTAGGTTCGGACCCGTAGGTCTGTTTTGGTGTCGCTAGGTATATCCTAGCACGCAGAAATGGTGGGAGTAGTCCTAGTTCGTAGCTAGCATGCGCTAAGGCCAACGTCGTTACCAATCCCGGCAGAGCCTGCAGTACGGCAATATCCCGTATTGCGAGTTACATGTCATTGGTATTGACAATGCGAGTATCAATGTGAGTGAGTGTGCTACGTCATTGGTGTGTGTACCAGCGTTAGCATATGGTGAGCGTGAAGTAGGTCTATTTGGTGCATAACCGTAAGTGATGAACATGTATTGTCCCTCACTTCGATTTGTGCCACAAAAGTATGTGTATCTAAGAATATCTCGTGTACCCCAAGCTATGGTTTATCGTTCAGATCCCGCGAGGACTAAAAGCATACGTGACGTGAGGGTGTAGAAAATTGCACGTCCAATAATATTTCCCCCTAAGTCCCTTCCCCCTGCCCTGAGACCTGGAGCCCATTAGCTTGGTGATTGCAGAGGTGAAGAAAGATAGGGAAGGAGTAGGTATAAAAGAAAGGGGTGTAGGGTGGGTTAATCTGCGTCAAGTGGAACCAGTGTCTGCTGTCACTCCATTAGTGGGTTCAGGAGCGTTTGCTCTTTGTCTGTATTGGGTAATGAATAGGAACCAAGGGAGCCACATCTCCGTATGTTTCGTTTTACGGTCGGTCAGGGTGGCGTGAATGTCTTCCGCCCCATATATGTCTTCCACCCTGCGGATCCATTCTGTCTTCGACGGTATATTGCGTTGTTTCCAGAGTGCCGGTATGTTAGCTTTAGCCGCGTTTAACAGGTGGCGTAGTATAGATCTTTTGTACGTCCGAATGGGTTGCGTCGAGATGTGTAACAGGGCTAGCTCCGCGCTCCATTCCGGGATGTCTCCCAGGATGTCAGTTATCGCTTCCTTAATCATCGCCCAGTATGGAACGATGTCCCTACATTCCCAGCGTGCCGCGTTCTGCCTAGCATCTCCAACACAGTGGGGTGATTGATGGGAAGATCCTGTGCAACAATATCGGGGTCCTGTACCATAATGAGAGCAATTTGTAGTTAACTTCCTGGTAGTACGAACTCATTGAGCTTTTCTGCTGCCACAGTAATGCCGTGTCCCATTGTGCTGGTGTGAGTGTCTTTCCGAGTTGTTCCTCCATTGACAGCGAAAGGTGGAGGCCTGAGGCGTATCCCCTATAAGTAAGTGTTGGTACATCGCCGAGATTGCGTGGTCTAGTGGGGTGCCCCGGACGCATAGGCCTTCAAACCAAGTGAGATCGCGATGTAGGCGATCTTTATGCGGCAGCAAGTTATAGTAGTGTTGCAATTGAAGGTATCTAAGGATCGCAAAAGGGGTCCTAGGTTCTGTCCCCAATAAAGAGGTCAGGTACCGCAGCCTGCCCCCTTCAAGAACTTGATAGATGGGGACATAGTCCCTAGTGCCCGCGATAGGCCATGCCCCTGATGGTAGTCCGCCTCCTAAAGTCACATTATGCGTGATCGGAATCATGGGGCTGGGAGTGGGCGAGGTTCCTCAGCGACCTCCAGCCGAGCAGCGTGTGTCGTATCAGGCCCCCTTTGTTTTCGTTGGACACCTGACCCCTCACACCTCCCCATATCTCCATCTCGAGTGATGGTCCGAGTAGGCCTTTATCAAGTTCTACCCATTGTTTCGTCGTGGGGTCCTGATGCCAGTCCAGTATCCGTTGCATCATCGTGGCTTGATGATATTTCTTGATATCCGGGAGTGCGAGTCCTCCGTGATTTCTTGGTCGGCAAAGAATGTCATGTCGGATTCTGGAGCGATCGCCGCGCCATACAAATTTGATTATAGCCGTTTTCAGAGAGGAAAAGAAGATACTTGGTATGGCCAGTGGGATTGTCTGCATAAGGTAGAGAATTCTCGGTAAGATATTCATTTTGAGTACTGCCACTCTGCCGTGCCATGTTATGTGAGGGTACGACCATCTATTCAAGTCAGTCACGATTGACTTCATGAGGGGAGCAAAGTTGATTCGATATATGTCGTCTGGAGCCGTAGCCACCCAGATTCCCAGGTATTTCATTTTACCATAACACCAACGGAAAGGAAATTGTGAGTCAAGGGATGCGTATTCTTCGGAAGGAATCGTGATGTTCAAGACTTCGCATTTTGAGAGGTTAAGCTTGAAGCCCGAGATTTGACCAAATTTGTCGAATTCCGAGAGCAGGCAGGGTAATGTTGTCCTAGAATGTCCGGGTTTAAGCGAATCGCCTGGAGTAGTGGTTCCAATGACATTGCGAACAGAAGTGGCGAGAGTGGGCAACCCTGACGGGTGCCATTGCTTATCGCGAAGTCGGCAGTCGTGGACCCGTTAACTCTCACATTCGCGTGTGGTTTACTATATAAAGCAGATATCCACGTGAGGAACCTCTGTCCACATCCCATCCGATGTAGTGTGGCCTTCATGTACGTCCAGTCGACCCTATCAAATGCCTTTTCCACATCAGTTGATAAGAGGAGTAGCCGGGTTTTTGTTGCTCTGGCATGTTGTTGGACGGAGAACAGCCGCAAAGTGCTATCCCTAGCCTCCCGTCCCGGGATGAAGCCAGTCTGGTCTACGTGAATCAGATCCGGTAGGAGGTGGTTGAGT